GACCCGCGAGTAGGAGGGTCGGATCTAGGTGACCCGGGAGCAGGAGGGTCAGATTGAAGTGACCCGTGTTTTTTGATCTTTTCGACCGCCGTCTTGAACTTTGGCCTCCATACTTTATGCAGTCTTGTTTGTTTCTTGGCTACGTCCTTCTGCATCTTTTGTGCCTTTTGCACAAGAATTCGCGCGTGCGCAAGTACGCGGCGCTTCTGGATTCACTCCTCCAGAATTGAACGGACCCTTTTGACTTGGATCCATTCACTTATTGATGATTTGGAGGAGGGGGCGTTTGCTCGCTGTTAGGTCACTTGATGCTCCTTGAATTTCAGATCCACCTCGTAACGGATCCCGTTTATCGGCTCCAAAGCCTTAGCAAGCTAACGCGTGAGGCGTTGACGTCGCCTTTGACGTGCCATCTTCGATAGGATTGGCGCGCCTTCAATACTCAACTCCTTGATTGAGGAGGAGTTCAGATCTATAGATTCGGCCTCATTGGAAGCCAGAGGGGCGTTGCAAAGCTAGAGGGCAGCAGCAACAGGGGCCTTGACCTTCCTGCGCTTACGAGGGGCGGAGGATCTGATGGAGGAGAACGACAGATACTCCTCGAACTTTAGTTGGTCGAACTCATATTCGACCACTTCTTCAACCGGGATGCAGATCTGAGGTTGAGACACGACAGCTTCGGCAACGAAGCTGTTGGCTCCCACTGTGGTCGCCAGCATGTTTGGGTAGAAAATTATTTTCTTCATTGTATAACTCATTACAATTTCGATCGTTACAACAAGTTCAAAAAGATCGGTCTTTTTATAAGACCTTTACACAATGAAAATAAAAGTTACAATTCTCATTCAAACAATACGCAACAGGTGTTTATCACCTATTGCTTTGTGGGATCTTTGCCTGTGCCGGGGATTTTGATATCCGTGGACCGCCTTAGATCTGGATCCGGTTGATGAGCTTCGCCTTCACCGATGGAGTATTTGATTTGAAGCACTGAGATCGACCAAGCGAAATCAGTACTCTTCTCGAGATTAAGACCAAGCATAATCTCAAGGAACGGTAGGATCAGACTTCAAATCCTTTGAATAGCTCATTCTTTATGCTGAAGTTCGCCGGGATCTCACTAACCCTCGCTGAAATTCGTGACTCTTGGCTCTGGAGTTCGACGGCACCTCCTCGTCTTGATAATAAATCGCCCCCCTAAAAGGAGGCCCTATGCTTGTATTTATAGGGCTTCGGATGCGGATATGTGGATGAGAATGAGTGATTTGGCCTTATCTTCAGTCAATAATGGCCTAACCATGTTTGTAGATGATATCTAGGCAGTTAAGAACCCCTGGAACAGATAAATCCTGGGAAAACCGCTCAAACCTGTCGAAAAAAACGTCCGAGGGTCAAACTTGCGCGAAACACCCCGCTGACCCGCGGGTCGGCGCGGTTCGACCCGCGCGGCCGCGGGTCGGCGCGGTTCAACTCGCGCGGGTGCGGGTAGTTCAGCCTTTTTGCTGAACTGTTTGGTGTTTTTCGACTTTTCCGGGACTTGTATTTTCTACTATTTTGCGTATTTGACCATCTTGTTGACTTGTACGATTTGCTAACTTGCTTCATGCGCTCGTTAGCTTTTTTACGGTACTTGGAACTGACCAACGAGCGCAAGTTGACTGACGAGTGCATTCGGTCGCTTGAAGTTGATCGACACACGCGTGTTGATTGACGCTTGCGAGCTGATTGATGTGTGCGAGCTGATTGACGCGTGTGAACTGACTGACGTGCGCGCATTGACCGAAGCGCGCGAACTGATTGACGCGCGTGTGTTGATTGACGCGCGCGAGCTGGTTGACGTGAACCTTCTCGATTCGTCAACTCTTCATTTCGAGCTGCGTGCGGGACCTTGTAGGCAATTTTAGACGCCTACAAACAATTTAACTCTTTAAGATATTTTGAGTGGAATAAAGTGAGATAATTTAAGAGAATAACATAACTTGAAGATTTAATTTGACGATTCATATGAGATAATTGATGATATAGCACCTTATTAAAATATAATATTTATTTATTAATTAAGTCTATATTAATCTATTAGATTGATTTAATATATTATTTAGTATATTATTATAATATAATCCATTATTTTACTTTATAGTAAGCTATAATATGTTATACTATAATTACTAATAATTCTAACTATATTAATTAATTGATATAATATATCATATTATAATAATATGTATATTATAAAATAATGAATATAATATAAGAATAATATATTAAATATAATATTTTAATAATATAATATTTAATTTAATATATCAGAATATAGTATAATATGTTATAATTAGGGGTGTGCATGGTTTGGTCCAAACCGAAAAAACCGACTGAACCGACCCAAAATTAGCAGTTTGGGTTAGTTTTATTTGTAGATCGGTTCGGGTCGGGTTGAAAACTTTTCAACCCGAACCGCCCGAACCGACCGCAACTAATAACCCTTAGTTTTTAACTCATACCCATTACAAACCTGACCCGCTCCCTTAAGGTAAAGATCCTAAACCCTAAGGGTGTGTTTGGATTTCAATGGGGTTAAGGGAAATTAAGGAAAACTATGTGAGAGAATGGAAGGGAAGGAAGAGAGTTCCCTTCCCCTTGGTTACACCCTAATTTGGGGGGTAACAAATTTTATACTATTAGGGGGGTGAACCAAGGGGAACTAGGGTGAATAACTTCACCTCCTAAATGTTCCCAAACAAGATGAATGGTTTCCCTAACTTCCCTTCACCCTTATTCCCCTCAATCCAAACAAGCCCTAAATCTTATCCAGTCGCACCTCCTCGGCTCCTCTTCCTCAATCCTCAGTTCCTCTTCAATTTTTAACCCTAAATCTCACTCCATGTCTGCAAATCCTCCTTCCGCACTCGGCGCTCAGTAGATCTGCCTTTCTATTAGACCCTAGGGGGGGTGATTAGGGTCTTATGCTAATCTAATCCGATTTTATGTCAATTAAAACTAATTCAAATATTATTCTTGCAAGATAGATATACAATATGATATGAGCAAGAATATACAATATGAACAAAGAGATATATCCTAGCAAAGAGGTATATGATAAAATATATGCAAGGATATATAAACTAACACAAGGGTGACATAATCAAACTACAAATGTGATAGGGCAAAATATACAAGAGTAAAGGCAATTGGCGATATAAGATAAATGCATAAGCAAATGCGTCAAAGACAAACTCAAACACACTCAAATGATCACGGAGTTCGGACCTTCCGTCCTACTTCTCCGCTCCTCACTCCCGGGGAGAAATCTACTATCACAACCGGGTTTTCTATGCTCACCCGAATAACGTTTACAACCACACTATATCAGTTTTCAACGATCACCGATCAACGTATACACTCACACTCACAATGTCGGTTTTCAACGTTCACCGATCAACGTACACTCCTCACACTCGGTTTTCTAGCTAACCGAAAACTTTATAATCTCACAATTATAACAAATAATAAATTTGTTCTCTACAAAAGATGAGAACACAATTATGCTCACTCTCAATTGTTACAACTCCTCACAACCTAATTATACAATGTATGTAAATACAATAAGCTCAAAGGTTGTGTGTGTAAGCAATGAGAAAATCAAAACAACTAAACTCAATTAAAATCTAGCATATAGAAATTATGAACAAAATAATAAATAGCTAGAAATAGATTTTAGGAATTCTTCTCTGAAAATCAAGTTGGAGAGGAGGATTAAAATGAAGTTCAAACACTGTAGATGATCTTCTCCACTTGTAAAACAATCTTCACAAACCAAACAGACATTGAACCCAACTAAAACCCTTTTCAAAACTCTTTTAAACTTCTTTAAAACTATCCATTGGGTTCCTGAGATAGAAGGGGGTTTGAGGGTTTATATAGGAAGAGAAACAACAGCAAAAACCCCCAACCAAATCTCACAAAAACCTAGAAAAAGATTTTTCAGATTATGTACAAAAAGAGCCGTTGGGCATACGGCGGTCGACCGTGGAAAACTCACGGTCGACTGCGAGCCAGCGTCGACGGTGGGAATTTTCGAGCTGACGGTCGACCGTGAAAGTTTCTTTTGCCCACTCAGGAAAAGACATAGGCGCGGTCGACCGTGGCATTCGATCGCAAACTGACATATGAAAAATTCAGGTTTGAAAGCAGTTTGCTGATTTTAAAATACTGTTTAAAAATATCAAATAAATTCAGAAAAATATAAAACTTTGGGGAATGATTGTAGACATGATAATAAACATATGAATTTTGACATTTTGCAAATGTAAAATGTAAAATATCATTATTTTGTAAGGAGGTCCAAAACATAGAAATGTAAACATATGAATTTTGACATTTTGCCTAAACCATATTTTGAAACTTTACAAAATGATTTTATAGACTTGAAGAAAGATATAAACTATTATTATGAAGTCTATAAACAATGAATGTAGTATTTTATCAAAATACACATATAATGCACTAAAACATGATTTTATTGAACTAAATAAAATTGATATTGATGAAATCATATATATGCATATAAGTATGAAACAAAAATATGTTTTCTAATTATATTTAATTGTTTCAAAGTAAAACTTGAAAACTATCAAACCAAAACATATATGTATATATATAACTATATATATACATGGAAACCAATAAATGTGTGTATATAATATTGAGCTTAAAGTACTAACACACATAATATAAACCTAAACTAACTATTACCCAAGCTTGATTTTGATCTTCATTGTAGCTCAACTTGGTAAACTTGCGGAAGAAGCTTGAACTTGTATCTTTAACTTGAATGTACATTGCTTTACTCCACTATTCCGCCAACCTCCATTGGTTATGATCGTGAATGCTCGATTCCATCCATCCTCCAACTCGTTGTTTGTCTAGAATAGATACAAAACACAAATACTAGACAAACAATATTAGTAGTAAATTGTTTATTAAACATCATCAAAACAAAGAGGCCAACACTTCCGTGCTTGGCGCTCCGCCTTCCGCGCTCGGTGGGAAATTATCTGGAAGCGGAAAATCTGGAGGTGATGGCCACGAGGATCGAGCAGAAGTCTCGCAAAGTCGAGACCTTGCTCAAACAGTTAAACTCTCTGGATTCTAAAACCCTAATTCGAAGAGACTATCCTTAACTCTTAATGAAAATTTGTTTTTTTTTTCTTTTTTTTTTTTGTTAGATTTAAGCATGTCGAAGCTTTGAAGACAACGCTTAAGGGATCGTTGACGAGCATCAAGGAAGAGAGGTGTAAGGTTTGGGGTTCTTTTTTATTTGGTTTGAGAAATTAGATTTTGGTTTTATAGAAGTGAAATATCTGTAATTGGGATTCTGGATTTGGTTATTGTTGCAGTCGGCGAATTGGATCGTGGTGCATCGGGCGATGATGGCGATAAAGGATGTGGATGGGATGTTCTCGACCTTGGATCCGGAGTACTATGACATTCTCATGAAGTAAGATTCAGTTCTGTATCCGGCAATTGTTTTTTTATTTTATGTAATTATAATTATATGCTTTTCGTCCAATTTTCATTTCTGTAAATATTTGATGATCAGGTTATTGGAAAGGCCTTGTTTTGGATGAAATTATCAATTATGTACAATCCTTGCAAAACCAAGCTGAGGTAAACATAAAATCATGCAAATGTTGCTTCCTTTTTTACATGAAGTAAGTTAATTTTTTACATTATGAAGTAGTCTACATTGAATTGGATTGAATTGGTTAGAACTGAACAATCGAACCGAACCGAACCGTGCTCAGCCTAGTTATAATGCACTAATGAATATTATAATATTTATGTTTTATTGAATATAATATTATTTTAAACATTATATTATTATTAAAATATAATATTATATTATATAATAATTACTATAATTTAAGTGGAATAATGTGGATCTTTATTAAAATATAATAACCGTAATATACTATTAATATTTTCAATATTATTAATTAATATATTAAATTATCTATAATATCATATTTTGATATATAGTAGTTATTTTTATTTTTATTCTTACAATAAAATATTATTTAATATTATAAATGCCATAATATTGATAATATATTTAGGACTATTAATTAATATAATAAAGTATAATATAATCAATAGATTATTGTATTAAATATATAATACTAAATTACAATACAATATTTTATATCATACAAACTCTATAGTAATATTTTATTTCAACTAATAAAATATATATTAAATAATATAAAGTAATATTATAATAATATAATACTAATATTATAATATATAAAATATTATTAGAAAATATGTAACGATGATATTAAATAATGTTATATTAGATAATATTATATAATATTCTATTATCTTGCATCATTGTAAAATTTTGTCATATAATATAATTAAGATATGTTATATATTATAATACAATTAACATATATTAGATATTTAATAAATGAGTGCTCCAAAACTTTCCTACTTTTCCTATGATTATCCCAAAGTTAAGAATATGGTAATTTTTGGAGGTTGGGGTAAAAAATTTATATAGAAGTTGGATAGTATTGGACAAAGTGAGAGCAAGTCCTACCTTATAAGAAAGGTATGAAGAAATTTGTTCCTCCTCATAATATTTCTCCCAAAATAGTATGTAGACCAATCTGCATATAATAGTTGATTTATAAGGGAGAATAAGTGTAAGCTCCCGATGAACTGTCGGAGACTCCAGAAAAACACCTAGAAGAAGAGTTATAGTGTTCCATAATGTGAGATGTTGTAAATACTAGAGGGAGAAAAAAATGAGAGTTGATATTGTAGTAGAATATTAGAGTTTGTGTTGTGAAGAATGAAAGGGATTTAGGCCATGGGGATATTCATATGATTAGGGGATGGGGTTGGGGGCAACTTTTATTTATTTATTTATTTAGTTGTCCCCGCCCACTAGTGGTTGAGCAACACCCCCTACCCCCAAATGGTTCAATTGTGACAGTAATGACTCTTTTTCAAGCAGTTAGGGGTCTTAAAAAGGTTTTGGACTTCCTATTAATTTGGCAGTCTCTCTTTCTCTCTCTCTCTCTCTCTCTCTCTCTCTCTCTCTCTCTTTTAGTCTTTTGGGTTGACCGTCAATTTTCTTATCTAAGCAATACTTATGTAGAAGAGCTTTTTCAAAAAAAAAAACTATCGGGGGTTGGCAGCAAATTTACCCCGTCACAACTTGTCTCGTGACTCGTGATGAGACGGGTTAGACTCATCACATTTATTATTCACTAGACGAGTCGGGTTAACTCGTCTCATATATGAGTTGGGTCTATACCCATCACGTATCTATTTGACTCTGGTTCGTGCAGGTTCACGGGACGAATTTGGGCGGGTCAAAGGCCATCACTACTTTTGAGGATCCATAAACAATTTGATGTAGAAGAATTCAGAAGTAATTGGAAAATGAGGTGAGATTTGCATTTATCGTCGAGCTCTTTAGACTCAAAATCCTGTGAAAGAAAAAGAGGAAGAAACCCAAGAAAAAAATTCCCATAAAAATTAAGAAAAGAAGAATAGAAAGAAGAGAGAGGGAAAACCCTCACCTTCAAGCGTTTTAGACAGAAAAAATTGATGATTCAGGCCTTTTTTTTATTTTACCCAAAAAAAGAGATTAGGGTTTAGAGGGAAAATGATAATTTTCACTTTTTTTTTTTGATCTTGTTGTGTTTCCATTGTGGAATTGAGAGGAAAGAAAATGAGTTTAGAGAGAGGGGATTTTGATTTAGAGAGTTGGAGTGAGAAGGGAAGGAGGGAGGGGGTTTCTGAGTTAAGATAGAGAGAAGGGAGAATCTTGAGAAGGGTTTCAGAGAGAAAGGGGTGTTTTTGATTTTTAAAGATGAGATAAAACTTGGTAATTAGAAGAAAAAAAAATAACCGGCGAGAAAACATGAAAAAGTTAAAAATTTTATTGTATCAGCTATAGCTCTTCTTGAGATTTTGCTATGGGTATAAATAAAAGTAGTTGTTTTGGTGTCCCCCTTAGAAATGTGTATAATCCCTTGCTCTGCTCTCCAATTCCATCTAGAATTCGCTCGCCTGAGGCCTCGAATTCGGTCTGCATCCCTGAATCCGTGAGCGATTTTGGAGGACTATTTGGGGAAAAGATGACATGGGTTATTCCAGAATCTTTCTTCGGATAATAAGGAACCGATGACAGGAGAAATCAAGGAAAAGAGCAGGATGCATAATGTATATTAAAGTATTTACGATCTGATGCCTGTTAACAATTATCTCTAGTGGTTTGGCTTCGGGGTCTTTCACTGTGGGTCCAAAGTAAAAATATTTATTTTCTTTTTTATATTCACGCATTCATTCTTGTGTTTAGATGTTCATTGGTTGTTTTGTTCGTGTAATAAACTAACATTTTAATGCAAATAGTATGATTTTTTTGGGGGTGCGGAAATTGATAAAAAGATTGGAAAAAAATACAGATTGGCGTAATTAGGCCTGCACCTAATAAACTATAGAGAATATTTCACTTGTTGACGTTTTTTTTTTCGTTTGCTTGACTCTTTGGATTCCATATTGCATGGAAATGAGGCGAAAGAAAATGTGAGGTGGAATTATTGTACTTAACATGTCAGGATGTAAAAGAAAAATTTGTATTCATAACACGCTCTACTGCTATAGTTAGAGAAAGTTTGTGCACCTCTCACTCAAAATTAAAATTTCATTCCCAGACGCATGAGCCTGTAGGGCCACTACTCTTGCAGTAGATTAAAAAAATGTATGAAGTCATCAAGCGAGTTTTTCAATCTAAGTAATCAGGATGATAAAAATAGAACATTTGTTTAATTAGTATTATAAGGAAATGAACCTATTGATTAGAATTTCAGCATGCTGAGGATCCCATTTAATTAGATCAACTTTTTATTCACATACGAGGTTAAAATTGACCTTAAATTTTGCAGATCGATGAGTTATTCTAGTTGTGGGTCCAGCCCACTTTGTGGCAAATATTAATTTGCAAGTGTTTTGTTTGTAATTTTTGGTTAGCCCAAAACTTACTTATCTGTTTTGGCCCATTTTATGGGTAATGTTTGTAGCTTCTTGGAGAAGCTTTGTGGGAGGGTGAGCTGTATCCCAATAAGTTAGAAAAAGGTTGTTGGGGACTGATCATCTTCCACACAAAAAAAAAAAAAAGAAACATAGGGCTTCAATCTGAACGGTTGGATCGTCGATGTGAGCTCCGGATCGTCGAGTATTGCAGCTGGACAGAACCTCTGTGTTTTGGTGATATTTCTCACTTTTGTTCCTCAAATGATGAATCTCTTATGTATGTTCCTGTTGGTGGGTTGTGAAACTTTGTGAGACTGATTTGGGTTTCTTTTACCCTCAACTTATCATAATAAGAGAAGAAGTGGTGGACTCCTCCAGTCCCGTGGTTTTTACTCTTCACATTGAAGAGGTTTTCCACGTATAAATCATGTGTTGTTTGCATGCTTTTATTTCTCTGCCTATTTCGTAATGCTTGGTGAAAATTATCAGATATAACTTGGGTCTTAAAGATTGGTTGTCTTGTGTTGATCTTGTGGGTGTTGGTGTAATTGTTTACTACCTTTTTGTGGCCCTACAAGTGGTATCAGAGCAAGTTTATAAACATGGAGTCTAGTAGTAATAGTTTCATGGTTAAATTGACTTCAACCAACTATTCCATGTGGAGGCCGATGATGGAGGACTTGTTATATTGCAAAGATTTGTATGACCCAATAGAAGCAATCACAAAGCAAGATAGTAGTACTTCTAAACCTGAAAAACCAGAAAAAATGGAAGAAAAGGAATGGGCAAAGTTGAAAAGAAAAACTTTGGGGACTATTAGACAATGGGTTGATCCGTTGATATTAGCATTTTCAATTATGTCTCTCAAGAGTCCGACCCATATGATTTGTGGAAGAAATTGGAAGGTATTTATGAAAGAAAGACCGCACATAACAAAGCTTCATTAATCAAGAGACTTGTTAATTTGAAATTGAAAGGTGGGAAGTCCGTGTCAGAACATCTTAGTGACTTCCAAGATATCATTAACAAGTTGACTACTATGAAGATTGTTCTTGATGATGAATTGCAGGCTTTGTTCTTGTTGAGCTCTTTGCCAGATAGTTGGGAAACCTTGGTTGTGACTATTAGTAACTCTGCTCCGGATGGTGTGCTATCTTTGGATGTGATTAAAGAAAGCATGTTTAATGAAGAAATAAGAAGAAAGGAGATGGGAGTTAACAATTCACAAGCTCTTGTTGTTGAGAACAGAGGAAGAGGCAAGAGTAGAGATCCCAAAGGCCGTGCTTACTCAAAGGGAAGGTTCAAGTCCAGAGAAAGGAAGGAGACTAGGACATGTCATTATTGCAACAAATCTGGTCATATCAAGAAGTTTTGCTATCGTTGGAAGAAAGAACAAGGTAAGAAGCAAGACTCACATAAGGAGGGAGATGACAAAAATACTGCAGCAACCGCC